GCTCTTCGATGAGCCCCACGGTGTCCCCGCAGCCCGGCTGGCTCCTGGCCCTCGGCATGGTCTTTTTGTGGACTCGGATGTGAGTTCGCCACGGAGAGTTGAGCTTCGACCTGAGGTCTTCGTAGGGGACGGGGGACGCTTTGCCTCCCGCGTGGCCGGGGATGTGAATGACAGCGTTCCTGGCGGCTCGGTTGGACATTTTCATCTTCTTTCCTAAGAGCAGGTGGTTTATAACTGGAGAGTTGTTCACCTGAGACGGGAGGAGGCTGGTCACTGGCCCTTTGTCTGAAAGAAACATCGGAAGGGGGCGTGAGACGTGCCCTCAAGGCGCGGGGTCTGCAGAGAAGTCTCCAGCCCTTCCCCACGCACTTCCCAGGCCCTGGGTAGGCGCAGAAACTGAATTCCAACGAGGGGGGGGGGAGATATTCCCTCCTCTTTAAAGAGGGGAAGAGAAGGGGCCGAGGTCGCAGAAAGGAACAGAGACTGATCCCTCGTGACTAAGTAGAGGCCTAATGATTTGGGGGTGGGGGGAGCTTTTGTCTGAGACCCAACCTCAGAGGTCTTCTATCCAGAAAATGTTCCATCCTAAACCTTGTCACCTACATCGACCTGACATGGAACACACTCAACTTTAATATTCTTCTCTTGGGTTCTCTTCCAGCTCTAAGGCTGCCACTGTAACTCTACCTGGTGACAGACACTTCGGTTCCTTGACTCCTCAATCCTCTGGTAACTTCTTGTCTATCTTTGGCCCACGGACACCCCTACTCTGAGAGCTGTACAGCTCATTACCTGGACCGCTGCCTCCCCAGTAACCACACATCCCAGGCATCCCTCTGCCTTTGCCACATGCCTGCAAAACCCCGACCTCAGATCCACAGTCCACACTCTCTCGTTAGGTCCTCAGTGCCGCTGACCAATCTTTTTCTTTCACTCTCCCACTCCTTTCAATAACCTATCCAAGTCTTCCTTATTCTCTAAGCTCCCACCCAGGCCCCAACTTATTCCCAGGAAAACAACTTTCCCCCCAATTCTCCATGAAAACAGAAGCTCTCAGGTCTGAAAACCTCAACTTCTTGCCCTCTGTAAACTAGGAGGCTGGTACCCCAACCAACTTCCTTCCCTCCTTCCTTTAAGTCTCAGCATCTATGGTCTTTGGTTTCTAGCTCAAGTTCAGTCTCTACCGGGGCCGCTAATCCTGTCCTCCACCACCTCCTCTAAAACCTTCCACTCCATGTGTGAGCCCCACCCAGCAGCACTGGCACCAAAAGCTTGTTGGAAATGCATAACCTGAGTCCCACCCAAACCTACTGAGCACCCTCTTCCTTTTAACAGAGCCCCAGGTGGTCCCTATGCACAGGAGAGTTTGAGGAGCAATGCTCTAGAACAGTGGTTCTCAACCTTTCTAATGCCACGACCCTTTCATACAGTTCCTCATGTTGTGGTGACCCCCAACCATAAAATTATTTTCGTTGCTGCTTCATAACTGTAATTTTGCTACTGCTATGAATCGTAACGTAAATATCCGATATGCAGGATGTATTTTCATTGTTACAAATTGAACATAGTTAAAGCATAGTGATTAATCACAATCACAATATGTAATTATATATTCAATATGTGTTTTCCAATGGTCTTAGGCGACCCCTGTGAAAGGGTCATTTGACCCCCAAAGGGGTTGCGACCCACAGGTTGAGAACCGCTGCTCTAGAACAATCTCTCCCTAAAATAAGCCAAATAAACCATGATCCAGAGTAAGGGTTGGCAAACTTTTACTGTAAGGGCCAGATTATAAATATTTTAGTCATGGCAGTGTAAAAGCAGGCATAGACAGTATGCAAACAATGGTCATGCCTGTATTCCAGTAAAACTTTATTTACACAAACGGGCGGCAAGCAGGGTTTGGCCTGCAGACCATAGTTTGCTGACCCCTGACTAGAGAATGAGGCGCTGGGCGGAGTCAGCACACAGTGGTGATGTTCACTATATCACCCAGTGACTTGCTGGTATACAGTAGTTGTAGGACTGTACAAAGAATTAGAACAAATGGATTCCAGCCCTGTCCGGACCACTCACCATCACCATATAATCTCTGACGATTGCTAAATCCTCATGAATCACCGCTTCCTCATCTTCTAAAAGTATATGAGAATACCTGTTCCTTGCCTTCCTCATGGACCAGTGGCTCTCAACCTCGGCTGCACATCAGAATCACCTGGGAATCTTTTTAAAATCCTGATTT